CGCCATTTCTCTTTCTTTTTTTGTGTTTTTGTTTTCGTTATTCGATAAAAAGCCGTACGTGGTTGAACGGCTTGGCGGTTTGTCTTCTTCTCTTCTCGTCTATTGTTTAATAAACAGACGGTTGAAGTAAGTTATTGGAGGCGGTTTTCGGTGCGTAAATCAAAAGATTGCGTTTGTCACTGTCGACTGCTTCTTTTGATATATTATTATTAATTAATAAGAAAGAAAAAGAAAAAGAAATGGTTTGGAGTTGTGAGGCTGTGTCGGTTTTCTCGTGAGCGGTTTTCGGGAAAAAAAAAGAAGAGAAAACAGGGTAGTTTGCTCCTCGTAAAATATTACTTTTTATTCTCACTAAGTCGCAATGTTTCGAAGTTAATAAATACCCAATAGTGAAAGGGGAAGGCCAACCGGTAAACCTAGAACTTACCTTTAGTTGATGGGATGGGGTTTTCCAGTAATTAATTCTATTGTTGTTTGGAGCATAGGAAGAGAAGAGAAAAATCTCTAGTTTCTGTTATTCCTAAGCGCTGCAAGCAGACCAATATTGGTGTAGGCGAAAATAGTAGTAGGATTGAATTTTCAGAGGGCGAGAAATTGGAGATTTATTGACAAGAAGGATCCCCGCAGTCTCTCCTTTTTTGTCTTTATTCAAAGTCGCATAAGAGAAAGAGAGAGTGAGAGAGGGAAAAGTTTAGAGAGACGAATCGGTAAATCGAAGAGGCGGGAGCTTGAAATGAAAACTAAGTTTGTGTGAATATTGAATGAAAGATAATACTAGTGATAGTGAGAAATAGCGAATGACGGTGCCATCTCTCCTGCGACACACAGAGTGATGAGTAGCATATTCAAGGGGTCGCCATACCGGCGGCCGAATGACGTGGAGGCCGGAAGCAGCCGCTCCGCCCACTCCGACAACGAAGACGATGAGTTTTCTGCTGGTCCTTTTGACATCACCAGTACTAAGAACGCTCCCATCGACCGCCTCCGCGGGTGGAGGGTAATGCCCTAATTTCTCTCTCTTTTGTGTAAAAAATTTGTATATAGTCATTGCTTTGTTAAGTGATGCTGATTATTACTTTATGCTTTTGATTTTGATGGTCTTGGGCTACTAATTTTAGGCGTACGGAGAATAAATTAACACATTGCTTTGCCCCTTGATTAACTCTCTAATATTACTTCATAAAATAGTAATAAAAAAAAATAAAAAGAACAGATACGAGCTGCATAACCTTCCCTACTGCAAGGGTTTAATACCGCTTGGAGTTGTTCACGCAAATAAATCAAGAGGGAAACTAAATTTCCATTCTCTCATAAGCTTGTTCTTATCCCCTACCCTCAATTTCTTTCACTTTTGGTTTTTATTTCTTTTTTTTTCCTCTCTCTTTAACTCCTTTTTTTTGGGCCTTTTCCATTCGGTTCAATTCATAGAAGTTTTGATTGGTTTCACCTGTTTTGCTTTTTCTACTTGCTTTATGGTTTTTGCTTTTTTCTGATTAAAAAATGAACAAAAAAAAAAAGGAAATCATACAAAGCATTACAATTGATTAAAATGCAACACCAATTTTAGCATAAATATTCTGCATATTTGTATTTTGTTCTAAAAAATATATATTTTTAAATGTTAAAAATTTTCTTCACTTTGTAGTCTAACAACCTTTTAGCGTTTTTTTTTTGTTTGCTTTTGGAAGTGAATATGAAGTACTGAAAACAATAGCTAAAACGGTACCCTAATGAGTCAGCTTAGGAAGGCAAGTGAGATAGTTGTGTAAAAATTGGTTATATTTTTGCAAAATCAACTGTAGAAACAAGTAGCAATAGCAAGGATTTTCACCCAAGACAGCTTTGGACTCTTGGCCCGTTAGTTTTGGGATTTGTTTTTCATTTTACATCTCTACTTCTCCCCTGTATACAATCAATAAAATTTGGAAACCTGTGTTTTTTCTAATTTTCTAAAAGTAGACAGCTGTTTTAGGTTGTTTTTTTTTTTTTTTAACTAGAAAACAAGGCTTGTCAAATACCTTATTTTTTTAAATTGTAAAGAAAATGCAAGATTGACAAGGGAAACTAGTTTTCTGAAACTAAGTGAGCCCTAAAAATTGAGACACCCTCCCTAAAATACTCCATCTTCAAATAAATGAATCAAAGAAAAACCTCTTTAGCAACTAAGTAAGCCTACGGCTGTTTCAAAACAGTCAATTAATGCGATACTGTATCTGGCCCAATCCTGCTCCAGTAAACGTAAATGGCTGCTATTTTGCTTCTGCATCTAATATTTAAGTTTTATGATTTAGGTTTTTTTGATGTTTGCACTTCAGAATTTTATGTTTGCTTGGTCAAATAGATTTAGCTGCTCCCAATTTGTTTTCTAGTCCTCTTAGAATAATGTTGAGGTTAATAATCATGTTGGTTTTAACTTCTTTTTTATTTTTCTTTTAGGAAAATTCTTTGAACTAGATGCTTTTGAATAACACAATTTGTTGTCGCAAAATTTTATTTGAAAACTATCTACTATGTAGTAGAAATCTCCTAGTTGCTAGTGAGCATTGTCACTTGGTGGTTTGAGCCTCGTTGCTTTTTCTGATATAGTTGGGTTGCTAGTCTTTTCCTTATTTCTTAGAAAGTGATAATTCTCATAGGTTCTGAATGGTGACTTAATAAATTGTCTTTTGTAGCAAGCTGCACTGGTGCTGAATGCTTCTCGTCGATTTAGATATACCTTGGACTTGAAAAAGGAAGAACAGAAGAAGCACATTTTAAGAAAGATCAGAGCACATGCGCAAGCTATACGAGTATGCTATCCTTGATTGAGTAATGTTCTTTATGGGATTGAGGTTGAAGCTTTCTCCTCTAATTTTCTGTTTTTGGCTATATTAGGCTGCATATCTTTTCAAACAAGCCGGTGAACGAGTAAATGGTACTTATTCTGGTTATCTTATACTCAGCCCAGTAGAATGATTTGTAAGGATAGTGCTTTTGTTTTATAACTTTGGTTTGATATTCTATTGCTGCATCGTTGCCATGTCAGCAGGTTCATCCAATCGAGATTTTGCTATGTGTTGTCATGACTCTTTACTACCTTGCTTCATATTCTACCTGCATGTCTTTTTTCTTGTTTTTTTTTTCTTCTTTTTGGATTTGACTGAGAAAAGGAGAGAGATGATTTGGTCAAAAAAGAAAAAAAGAAAAAAAGAAATGCCAAAAATTCAAGGAAATTGATAATTGCGGTTAGGCGCACATATTAACTCTTTTGTTGATATTGTGTTTTAACTAGGCTTCAGGCTCATTAATTGCTATGTAGTTCACTTCAGATGTACCTCATTCGCAACATTACCCTTTAATATTCTTTGATATAGTTAGCAATTCAAATTCTTTAATATTTGGCGCAAATGAAAAAACTGCTTCTAAAATTGACCGTTTCTTATTCGCCTCTTAAAATAATTTAGATGTACCAAGTGCACTAAATAAGACGTAATGTTGATTGCTTTCTTTTTACATTCATAGTAAGCGTTGATTTTTAAAATATCTTTATACTTGTATGTTTATATAGAAATGTACTTATGAAATAAAAAAAACACCTATGTTTATCACAAAATAACTTAGATAATGTTTTAAAGTGCTCTGGGACATGAGTTAGCAAACCAAGACTATCCCCTTGATCCATGGCACAACTATGTCATGTACCCCATCCCCTAACCTGTAGATGATCTGAGACATGCTGCATTCTTGAAGACTATGGTTAGGATTGACTTTTTAATACCTATCTCTATAAAAGTCATTGTTGGTTTTTGTTGACACTTTGTTATTTCCTTTTTTTGATATCCAATACTATTAAATATCTAGTGTTGTCCAGTCTTTATAACTCTTTCTATTGTCTTGTTACATTTTGCGTACTTCTTGTTTCTCCAGAGATGCCATAGAGTTGAATTAGCCATTTAATTTGAGATAGTAATTGTTTGAGAAGGGTTAAATGAAAGCAGGGTTTATTGATCAAGTGAAATGATAATGCATTTGCAAATTTCACATCTAAGAAAAACTGCTGTCTTGATATTATATCATAATCATTAATGGATGTTCATATAAAACAACCTCTTGGACTAAATCCTACTAGCATAGCTTATATTTTTCTGTGGCCAAGCCTTTCCTTCAAACAAACTCTGCTGATCAATGCCTCTGTTTTTCTCCTTCTTTCATCTAGACTAGTATCTATATTAATGAATACCATGTGTAAAGCCATTGATCAAGTTGGTTTTGACGAACTTGAGCTTTTTATTAGCATCACATATAAGTTGATACTATCGTAGCTTTCTTTTAGGTAATGTATCTTATTATGTTGCATGTAATTTTTCACGAAAAATATGGTCTTTTAAGAATGTTGTATTATGTGTTTTACCCACTGCTTTTTGGTGGTGCAACTGCTTGTAAAAGCTTATTGTTTTGATTTAGATGTTTATCACAGTGCTTTGATTTTGCAGGGATTGCAATTCGACACCCACCTGCTGGCGGTGATTTTGGAATTGGACCAGACGAACTTGCTTCAGTGACTAGGGATCACAATCTTAATTTTCTGCAGGAATATGGAGGGGCAAGTCTATGGAAATAAAACTTGCTGATTAATATACATATATATGTTTTTTAATGATTTTTCACTTATCTTAGGTTTATATGTTTGTTGTGTTTTTAAATCAGGTTACTGAGCTGGCAGAGTGGCTGAAAACAAATTTGGAGAAAGGGGTTCATGGAGATGACACTGATTTACTGCAACGGAGGAATGCATTTGGTTCAAACACATACCCTCGGAAAAAAGGAAGAAGTTTTTGGGTACATCTCAGTTTCCATTTGTCTTTCTTTCTTTTATATTTTTTGGTTCCCTCCTGTTCATATTCTGTTTGTATGCTTAAAAATTTAATTTTTTTTTGTTTTTGTTCTGTGAATGGAATATTTATGATCCATTACCTTTACTATTTTGCACACAGAGGTTTGCCTGGGAAGCTTGCCAAGATCTTACTCTGATAATTTTGGTGGTAGCTGCTGTAGCTTCTCTGGCTTTGGGGATAAAGACAGAGGTGAGCTTTTTTATGCATGTTTAATTACATTGTATTTTTATTTTCATGAGCAAATGTTGCTTAGTTATTATTATAATTCTTTTCCTTTTTTCCTTTTGAGATGCAATAAAATTGTTTTTTATAATTTGATAATATTACTGTACTGATAAAAGGAACACTATGCACATGTAAGTAACACAATCCGAAGAGACATCTTTTGTTTCATAAAATCATAAGGAGGATATTCATAATACTGGTCTGTTGTGACACGACTTCATAGATTTATGTTATGTTCTTCGGTGATGACTTCATAGATTTATGTTATGTTCTTCTGTGATGTGTGACATGGTTTCTGAGGCTAGAATGTTGCGAGGTTGTAAGTATATATTCAACTAGTTATTAACATGAGGTCAGCACTTGGGTTTTTGGTTGGTTAACCTCACTTGTTTACATCATGAGGTCAGAACTGAAATTTTTGACCGGTGAATAGAAGTCTTTAATATAAATGTTCAAAGCATATTGTACATTTTCTCTGCTTTAAGTATGGGACTCAAGCAAATGCCAAAATTTCTTCAGGCAGGAGTATTGCATAATATCAATTTCTTTGTTGTGACCAACCAAATATGTACCCTCTACATCAGTTTTTTTGTTTGAAGTAGATGTTTTCTTCTTCAAGCTGTTTGTGTTGTTTTACGTAACTAGGCCTTTTAAATAAGAATTTTCAGTTTTCATATATGCTGTCCTTTACATTTTCAGGGTCCCGAGGAAGGCTGGTATGATGGGGGTAGCATAGCATTTGCAGTTATACTTGTTATTGTTGTGACAGGTACTGAACTGATTTTTTATAGTTGTTGCAGTTTTTTGCATAATACATAAAAAATGCACTTTTTTTGTTGTTAATCTTTCCCTTTGTCCTACTTGATTCTATTTAACTTCTCATTTTTGGAAGCATTGCTGGAAATTGTTGATTGAATCAATATATGTAATTTCAGTCAATAAATCCCTCTGGTGGATGAACCTAATACACAGATGCAGAAATTTTGCATTTTTCCTTTTAATTAGTAATATGTGATTACAAAGTTCATTTTTAGGTGTGCATTCTTTGCAATAAGGTTATTTCTGCATTCTTAAATCATTTTTGTAATTAGCTCAACTTTAAAGCTAAGCAAAAAGATTGTCCTTTTAGTGCTTAATTGACATGTGAAACAAGGCTAGTGTCTTGTACTGCAACTGTACCTTCCCAAAACCATGCAGTTTTGTGGTGCCAAGGCTACTTATAGTCAAGGACAGCCTTTCTTGTTCTTGTTTTCCTTTTGGGATATCTGTTTGCATGCCTCTGTTACAAACAAACCTGTGAACCCGACTCACACGATTCTTGTGTCACACACTTGGGCTACCATTGTGCCTGGAGTTTACTCCTAGTTTCCCAACAAGATAGATCACAATGCAGTGAAAAACTTGGGATATCACCAACCTGTTGGCAAGCCAAAACAGTGAGTGGCATGGGCTTCTACCCTATGTTAGTAACTCCTGTCCTGAATTATGCTGTATATTATACTTATTTGATTTTCTTTTCTTTGTTACGTAGGCTTTGAGTGACACAAATGGAAGTAATCTCTGGTCCTATGCACTCCATCATCTTCTTAGTAAGATTTGAACTTAAGAGTTAAAATGTTTTAGCTGCTAAGTAAAGCTAGGAGAAACTGAACCATGTGGAAAAACCACCCAACTTGACTTTAAAAGTCAATGACGAGAACCTGTCCTGACTCTTAATGCGAATAAATACAAACCCAGAGTGCCAACTCAAATATGAAATGACCCTAAATTTATTTTGAGCATAAAGCATATTCTTTTCTCATTTAAAATTTCAATTTAACTAGAATTGATGGTTATAATGATTATTCTTTTGGTACATGGGATTGCATAATGGGAGGTAACCCTCTCCCATCCCATAAATCCAATTCTGCCCTCTCAGGATTCAAACTTGAGACCTCCAAATTGGAGCCTCAAGTTCAAACAATTTGTGTGTTTCCCCTTGCTAAGCCTTGTTGGTAAGTGCATTTGATAATCAATATTCGTTAGTAAAGGTGTATGGCAATTGAAGTTTGCATTATCTTATATTATGGCTTATTTTACATCTTGTTTTTGAATTTTCATCCCCATCTTTTAAGTGTGGTTTGGTTGAGCATCAAGCCACAAATGTAGAAATAGAGTTTTTGTATTCTATTTTTTTAAAGTTCTTATTACTCCAATTTAACTGCTGATGTTGCTGCATGTTTTAATACTGGGTGTATAATTTTTTATATCTTGACTTTTTAAATCTGCAGCTATTAGTGACTATAAACAATCTCTTCAGTTCCAAAAACTAGATGAGGAGAAGAGAAACATACATTTGGAGGTAGGTTTGCTCTGGTTAACAATAGATATGATTATAAACAATATTCTTTTGGACTTTATGTTTGACTGCTACATGGCAGGTTGTTAGAGGAGGTAGAAGAGTTGAAATTTCGATATATGATATTGTTGTTGGTGATGTTGTACCCCTCAACATTGGTGATCAGGTATGTGGCTCTAGTTCATGCCTTTCACTTCTATTATTTTTTTAAATGCAGTATTTGGCTGGAATTTTTAAAATCTGCCTTTTAGGTCCCTGCTGATGGAATTTTAATCTCTGGTCACTCTCTGGCAATAGATGAATCTAGCATGACTGGAGAAAGTGATATTGTAAGCCTTAAAATCCTTAGTACTATTTAATGATATGCTTATTCTATGCATGCTTTCAAATTGCTATTTCATCTTGTTTCAAAAAAAAAAAAAGGAAGAAAATTGCTATTACACCTTGTTGCAGGTTCACAAAGATACCAAGCAACCATTTTTAATGTCTGGCTGCAAAGTGGCAGATGGAAGTGGCATTATGCTGGTAAATTTTAGGACTTGTCTTCTTTATTCTTGTACCTTCCCTTTATATCATTATATTGTGTATGCAGCAATCAGCCTGTTCAAACTTTTAGTAATCACTTTACACACTGTGTCTTAAAGGTATTAGAACTTAATATAATAAAATCTGCTGTTCCTCGCAACTAACTGCATTTGTGTATTTGGTGTGCATGGGCAACATTCTTAATACTCATCTACATTTTCACCAAAATCATTTAGGCTGCTTTTTTCACTGTTTTCCTTTGTAACAGATGCATATGATGTTCTCTTTTACTATCCTATATTTGTCTATTCACATTGATAACTTGTAGACTGTTACATTCTATTCTTGTTTCTGATAAACTGAAGTATGCACTCAAACCTTGTATCTGTTTATAGCTCAAATAAGTATTATCTCTGTTTAATTCCCAGGTAACTGGGGTCGGGGTTAATACTGAATGGGGTTTGCTCATGGCTAGTCTGTCAGAAGACACTGGTGAAGAAACGCCCTTGCAGGTTTCTGTTTCCCCATGATGGTAATTGATGAAGTTTTAGGCTTTACTTGTTATGTTTACCTCGATTTAATGTTTATAGGTACGTTTGAATGGAGTTGCGACTTTCATCGGTTTTGTTGGACTCAGTGTAGCTTTTGCAGTCTTGGTTGTCCTTTTAGTTAGGTAACTCAGATTTTGGCTTAGTGACAATCTTTTCATTCCTTCCCACTCTCTGTTTTTAAGACTCGTTGGCCATTTGATCTGACCTTAAAACTTTGGATTCACTCAGGTACTTCACTGGTCATACCATAGACGAAAGTGGAAAAAAGCAGTTTGTTGCGGGCAAGACTAGTGGGGGCGATGCTGTAGATGGAGCCATTAAGATTATCACTGTTGCAGTATGTGCTCCTTGTTTATCACCCTTTGTCCAAATGCATGTCTGTATGTGCACACGTAACTGGATATTTGTTTTGGTATGTATGACTAATATCGAATGATGTAGGTTACTATTGTGGTTGTTGCGGTGCCTGAAGGGCTTCCATTAGCTGTCACATTAACGTAAGTTTGCTTTATGTAAAAGTACTTTGAATTTCCAGAATTGCTTTGTTTCTCTAGTTGTAGTGTTTTTAATGTATACCTTAATTTTGGGTTGCATTTTTTCAGTTGTTCCTTATCTCTAGCCCACGTTTGTCAGCCCTCTTTTTTCTTCCCCATGTCAACCTGTCTCCTTTTGGTTTTGTTTATTTGTTTTACTTAAAATTGACTGGTAATAACTCATGGTGACACTTTGTTGTGTGAATGCCAAATATCTCTTCTTCCATCTTATCTGGCAGATGCTGCAGTTTATGACTTGTAATTGTGCATGCAAATAATATGTTCAAAATATTTTAATTTGGTCATGTAAATAATTCTCATTCATCTATTCCCCTTGCTGCTTTTTACCTATGATAATAACACAAGCATTACAATGCAGCCTTGCTTACTCAATGAAAAAAATGATGGCAGATAAAGCTCTGGTATGTATGATGAATTTTTTGTGCATCCTTAGACATTGATGTAAAATTGTTTCATGGGAACAAATGTGTTTCATGCTTCTTAATTGAAGTTGAAATGCAGGTGCGCAGGCTTTCTGCCTGTGAGACAATGGGTTCTGCCACAACAATTTGCAGTGATAAGACTGGAACCTTAACTTTGAATCAGGCAAGTAATAATGTGCTTTCTTTTAAAACATAAGGGATTTTCTGTTACTTTACTTTCTAGTTTAACTACTTGAAAAATATAAGAACATCATCCATCTTGAATCGTTCCCACTGTTTTCAAAATAAAAAAGAGATATGCTTTTATGTATTAATAATAATTAATAATCTGCAAATTGATGTGAATGTGTATTGCAGATTGATGTGGTGTGAGAAAAAGATAGTGCTCTTTAGGTAGTTTACAAGCGTAGTGTTTATAATTGTAGTGGGAAGAGGAAATTTTTATTATTTGTCAAAATCCGAAAATTAGAATAATGATGAAAGTATAATCAATATAGATTCTATATTGATTTGTTAAGTGACAATGTTGATATAATAAAGTTGCTTTTGGTTTTCCTGAAGCAATTAAATTTAGATTTTTTTTAACAAAATTAAAATTATTTTGAAGATGGAAACATACAAGTAAATTGATGATTGAAAATTTCAAGTTTACAACATCCACATTATTAGTTAACAAGTTGCACTTATTAAGGCATCAGCTCTCCTGATTTCTAAACCATTCAAATTGATTTATATTATGCAAATTAATTGACCAATGTAATCTTTTGTTTGTAATTTTAGATTATTAGACAATTGTTTCTCTCATTATAGTTTTAAGTCACCTAAATTCACAACAAATTCTCATAATTTGTAATTTATACTTTCAGTCAACTATTTAAATACATATCAATTAAACCTTTGAACCCATCATGATCAATCAAGTTCTTGAGTATATTCTAATACCACAATAGCAACAAAGTCTCTCCACTAGTAATAATTGATATATCAATAAAAAAAAGTAATAAAATGATGATGAAACAACTTTATCTTCAAAGTTGGGTGTTTGAAGCTAAAAGTAGAATTTAGAAACTTTACAACATTAAGAAATTAATTATAGAAATTCTAAGCCTAAAATCTAGAGGAGTTATAAAAAGATAGATGTCAGAGGTGGGATTGGGCTCAGATAGAAAGTTAGGGGAAGGGCCATAGTAATCTCTATCTCTTGCTCTGTGTGTGTGCGTGTGTGTGCCCATCCAATAATAAAGTTTATTTCCTGAACAGATGACAGTGGTTGAAGCGTATGTTGGTGGGAGAAAAATTGATCCTCCAGATAGCAGCTCAGAGTTACCTGATATGCTGACCTCATTACTTATTGAAGGTGTTGCAGTGAATGCAAATGGCAGTGTCTTTACCCCGGAGGTAGGTTTTAATAATTTATATTTTTGCTGAATCATATTTAATTAAGAAGAATTTTTAGTGAAATGCCTTTTCTGATCCCTATGGTTGCTTTCTTTAGGGAGGTGGAGATGTAGAGGTTTCTGGATCACCAACAGAAAAAGCAATTCTTAATTGGGCAATCAAGGTCACATATCTCACCTGATGTTATCTTCTTGTCATTGCTTATCTGTAGTTTTAATACTAATTTTTAGTCTTTGAATCTTTGTAGCTTGGTATGAATTTTGATGCTGTCAGGTCAGGATCTTCAATTGTTCATGTATTCCCTTTCAACTCGGAGAAAAAACGAGGCGGTGTTGCAATACGATTGGTAGTGTTACTATATTGTTAAGTTTAATAAGCAATTTTATCATAGTTCCATGTATTTCAGGCTGTAGCTGCATTTTAAATGTCTTTTTGTCTTGGTTTTTAAACAAGGATTATGATGTGGTCTGTTTCTGTTTGGTTTGCAAAAACACCTACCTTAGTTTTCTTGGCATTTTCTGTAGTTTGGCTGATGCAAGGAAATTTGGTCAACAGAAACATGTTTCCTAGTCAATTGAAATTGTGTAAGGAAACTTAGGAAAACCGAATTCTCAGTTCTCATTCAGGAATTTGTTTCGCTTAAAACAGATCACGCACAGTCTTCTGCCAAAAGAAAACTTGGGGCCCTCTCTCTTTCTGGTCTTCTGCTCTTGTGATTCACCAAAGAAATATGTTATCCGCTTCCTGCATTCTCTCATGATGCCTGCCTTTCACCAAAATTTGCTTCTTCTTCTTGTTTCTTCCTTGTATGAATCTTGTTTACTTTTTACTCATTCACTCTTTTGTTCTTTCTACTTTTGCTATTTCTTGTTTCTCTAGGCTGCCATGGCAGCTGTGCTTGCTTCTTTAGCCTCTTTCGTCAGTGATCCACCTTCTTTTTCCCTTTTGTTATGACAAATTTTTCTGTTGTTTATACAAAATCTCCTTTTGCTTTGACTTTTAATGTACGCCAGTGTTGTTAAGGTGCGCTAAGGCACAGTGCCTGCAAACAAAAGTGCCTCAAGACTCTTTTGGGTGAGGCACATTTAGTCAGGTGCACAAGTGTGCCTATTTTTAAGGCGGTAGGTGCAAGAAAAGCCCTCCTGATAGAAGTTCTCTTTCATTCTTTTTTCTC